GACAATAAGGTTGAATAAAATATTTATATTGAACATTAAAAATTAAAGATCAAAGATCAAAGCTCATTACTAAGTAATTGCTTTATAAATTTATGAAAGGGGGTGTTAAATATCTCAAGATCTTTATGAGTGTTGGCTAATCTTAACATTCTTGGAATATAGCTGCTAAAAGTATGGTTTAAACGATAAAGAGGTACTTAAATGATTTATTTTTGTTAGAAGTTCAGTACAGCTGCATCTACGATTGATAATTTTGAAAAGTAATGTCAGGTCTCTTTGTTTCCTCCTAGTTTCCACAGAGGGGATGTTTAGAAAATTATCTATCAAACCATACTCGCAAAGGACATCCAAATTATAGGCTATGTATCTAAGAAATTTATGTTGCACATTTTCTATGTTACTGCTGCACGTTATGTAATGTGGAGACCAGACAGAAGGGCAATAATCTAGGTGAGGTCGGACTAGTGAACAATAAAGGACTTTAATTGCAGTTGTGTTAGCCTTTTGATAAAACATAACATTTTCATGGATTTATGGATAGCCTTAGATATGTGTGTTGATTGAAGCTTAAAGTGGGATCTAGAATAGCTCCAAGGTCTTTAATTTAATTAACAGACTCCAAGATAACCATTTAAGTTATAATCAAAAGTAATAGTTGGTACATGGGATCGATAAAAGTGCATTACATGGCACTTTATGGCATTTAAGTCCATGCCATTTAAGGAACACCAGTTTGATAGATTATCAAGGTCAGACTGAAGCATCATAAATGGTTTTAATAATTAGGAAAACTTTTAAATCATCTGCAAACAATAGTGCTTTGCCATATTAAAACAATGATTGATGTCATTTATAAATAAGTTGAATAATAAGGGACCAAGGTGTGACTCTTGAGGAACACCTGAGGTAACTTGAAATGAAAATAGTGATGGTTTACTCTAACCATTTGAGTTCTATTCGTAAGATAGCTACTAAGCTATTGCAGTATTACCCCATTTATGCCATATTTATCGAGCTTTTGAAATAAGAGGGAATGGTTGACCTTGTCAAAAGCTAGTCAGTGTACCCAGAATCAATCTGGCAACCCTTCTTCAAAGCTTTCGACAGAAAGTCGACGTAGGAAACTCGATTTAATTCATTTGATTTCCCAGAAAAAACCATACTGATGATCCGTTATAATGCCAGAGCAGTCATAGGTAAGGTAATCTGTTATAATGTTCTCAAAAACCTTAGGTATAGTACTGAGAAAAGATATAGGTCGGTAATTTTTGACGTCTGACTTGCTACCCGATTATTTGTATATTGTGGTAACACAAGACAGTTTCCAATAATCTGAAAACTCACCAGTGGCGATAGATTTATTGAAAATATAGAAGAGAGGGCGATACAATATGAAGCTGCATTTTCTGAGTAGGATTGGAGGAATAATGTCACGAGCTGGACCTTTTTTATGTCAAGATTAGATAATTTCTCGTAAATGGTCGAAATAGGAATGTGGTAAGAGAAAATATTAAGTTTTGATTCAATATCGTTAAAATTTTGATTTGGATTTTGATTAGGGTAAACTGATGAAAAATGCATGGCAAACAGATTGGATACTTCACTGCCACAAGAAGCAAATAGTCTTCAGGGTTCATATTATCAGGTATAGTGTTATTAGATCTTTTGGTACTTACAAAATTCCAAAAGGTTTTCACATTACTTTTAACAGAAGTTTCAACAGAATGTATGTAATTTGAATAGTATTCTCTAGGTATAATCCTGCATTGTGATCTTAACTGACTGAATATTTCATAATTTTTAGCTTGTAAATCTTATGTGCAACCTTTTTATCGTTGACTAAGCTTCTGAGGTGAAAAAAATACCAGTACGAGAATTTGTTGATAACAAATTTCTTTAAGGGAACAAATAACTCAATTACCGAGTACAAAGCGTCATAAAGAATAAGAATCATTTCTGAAAGTTCCATTCTTAGTGTCATTTGACTTACAAGTGAGGAAAACCCGGAAAACCTCACCCACCATCGTAATATTAATACCTATACAAATAATTACAAACTAAAAGGCAAAAATTAAAAATTTAAATAATCCGAAATAATTTCAAATAGTATATAAGTGATATTTACTATCAGTTAGTAAGTAATTTTTTTATTATTCCTAATAATTCTCAAACACAATTTTCAATAATTGCATTAAGAATGGTCAAAAATTAATCCTAATCCTATAACTTAACCTGAGCCTAAATGTCAAAGACATATTATTTAAACAAGTAAAAAATTAATTAAAGTCAGCATTTAAATTATTTTAACAAGTCGTTTAGAAACAAGATAGCGTTTGAATTCTCTTGTTTTTTCTAATTTTGGCATATAAACTGAAATTTTTTAATCAAAATAACCCACTTTCTTGAAAACTAAATACCTTTAACAAGCAATATACACACACACAGCAAGTCGTTAATAATAAATTAATGTTATTTTCTATTTGTCAATAAGAAGAATAAGGTTATGCCTATGCAACTAACAATACAAGAAAGCAATATTGGTTGCCTACATGTCAGTAATTTTTTACCAAAACACGATTTTATAAATAATCTAATCAAAATTAGAAAAAGTATTGTATGCATCTCGTAACTGGTTTCATAAATAGCAATTATACGTAGTTTTTTATTTTATTTGGCAACGAATCAAAAAAAGATTTTTAAATGAAATTTAAGCATATTTTTGCGGGCAAATGAGTCATTAGCTAGCAGAAGTCACGTTGTCATATTTGTCTTATATATTTATAATCGGGAGTGAAGTGTGACGGTATCACCCTGTATTTTAATTTCGTTATTTTTTCAATTTGAGTTCGATTTTGATTGACTTAGTAGATTATGTACCATGGACTTTGATTTAGTCATTTTAGGGAAGATTGTGTGACTTCTATCACTTTGTGAATGTAGCAAGGCACTTTTTCATGTACAATTCGAATAGTCAAATTCTTAGAGATTTTACTCGAGCTGACTGCATCAGCCTGAAGAGTCCCAACTGGGGTAAACCGGTCGTAGAATTGTAGCTCCCCAAATGCCAAATCAAAGGTATTGTACCGACAATCGGTCGCGAACATTTCATTCAATATCTGGTTGAGCATAATATAGCTATGGAAGTTTTATTGTTATAAGGCAACCGCTCAACCCGCGAGTGAAGGTTAGGTGACGATGTCATCATGCATTTCATTTATATTTATATTCGTCAAAGTAGTTTAAGCTACCCATGAAGTCGTTAACCCTATCAGTAGGTTTAAATTTATTAAAACATATTTAAATCTAGAATTCAAAATTGGGAATTTGGATTAATTGTCCCCGATACTTCTTACTTGCATCGCATTTTTCAGACGAACAAAAAATTAAATAAAATAATTTTTGGCTCCATTTCAGCTAGCACATTAATATCGTTCCATTGTTATTTTCGATCGTATCTCGTTTGTTTTAATTTATATAGTGGTCGAAAAATAATAACCGAATGATAATGGCATTCTATTCTATCAGACCGGAGCAGAAACTATCAATTTTTCGATGTTGGTAAAGCCATTGCCAGATTTTCGTAATTATCCATTTACTATTTACTATTTGTGCTGTCATATTTCGATTTGTTTTATTGCGATTTGTGTGCGAGTTGTATGCGACACCAATCTTAGATTGCTTAACTCCTTTCTCTTCTGCTATACCTCAATCCCAAAAGTTTACAAATTGATGTCAACTGTCAATGTTAATGAATATGTGGTTCTCCGCGGTCGAACAGGGAAAGAAGAAGAAGGATTGTTTAGTGTAATATATTTTTTCTACGATCACTATCCAAAGTATGCTTTTGTGCTTCGAAATCCAACCGCAAACTGACATTAAGTGAGCTTTGTTGCTCGCCTAATATAAATTTAGGTATAATATAATAATATTTAGTTTTAATAAATTATTTTCAAGTCATTTGTAATTAGTTACATGTTTTTTGTTATATTATTCAAGTTAACATGAACTTTGAATATGAACTGCTTTGGTCATGATTAATGTAGATATAGGCAACACATTATACACTACTTACGACAAATTTACAGTTTTTGTATGTATTTCTTAAAAAAACTTCGATCGTAGGAAAAATCTTGCGTGAATTTTGAACGAAAAATTCGTTACCGCTTTGACAGATAGCCGCGCTCCGCTACCTCAAGCGGCAAAGTATCACCTCACGCTTTTAATCCATAAACATTTATTTTTGTTGAATTAATATTATTTTAGCGATATATACACCATAACATAATTTCGCCCACTTTGATTAGAGACTATTGTGTCATCTGACATTGCGTCAAAGTTCAAATGAGATTTCGGTGGTTACAGGGCAAGAAGAAAATGTTCAATGCCTTGTATATATTGAATAATACATATGGCAAATCTGCATATTTTCCTAATATACATATAACGTTAAAAAATCGCCATTAAGGGGGTGGTTCTGAATTTTTCCGAACGCAAGGCTGTCGTTTGAAGTTTTTGAGGATAATTTTTTGAAAATAAATTTATAGATTTTTTTTTACCGTTTTATGGTAAAAAATAGGTGGTGGAAGAGAGATAATAATTTTTTCTTGTGCCGACGTCTCCTATTCACATATCTAATATTGGCCATATCTGAGGTAAATTTTTTTGTACTCATGTTCCTTTTTGGGAAATTTTTTTAAGTTCTATTGCTTGATTTTTCGATGATAATCTCAATGTGCAAGTCATTAAAATTATCACTAAAATGATAGTTTACCGGCAATTTAATAACTTTTTGTTTATATGAACTAATTGAAAATTTCTTTAGTTCCGAGATCTATTTATATCATTTGATTTGGCAACATTGCTTTAAATAGTTGAAATGAACAATCGAAGTACATAAACTATAATACATAATAATTAATATCACACGCAGTGAAATGTGCAAACTTTCCATGGCCAATCCTGATTTAAAAAAGATTTTTTTATTATTTTAAATTACTTACCTGTAGTCAAGCCATAGGAATTTGGAGATATAATGCCAGAGGTGACGGTAGCCATAGTCGACAACATATAGAACCGGTCATTCCTGAAAAATAAAAAATAATAATTTTAGTCATCGAATTTTGATTTTATTCAAGATTGGTTAAAATACCAAATTAAAAAAAATTATTTTTTTAAATCCCTAAGTGAAGTTAAGAAGTATATTAATGGCGGGTTGCATCAAAATCACTTTACTGATTCGTTAACTAACTGAAAATAAAATTTAACTGAGCTGGTATATCCAAAATGGGTCCTAACGACACACATTTGAATAACGAACCCCATTCTTTCTACAAATCACTCTTAAATTATATGAGTAGTATATAAAAAAATAACTCGCTTAATTAGTTTGTTAATAAACAATTTAAAAAAGATTAAAAATCACATCGTTTGACCAATCGATTCGCTACCTGCGAATTATCCGGTTTAAATATGCAAATATTTGACCAGTTGGCCCGTTCCTCGTTAAACGCTTTAAATACCATAATCTGCCAATCTGCAATGGGCTCTTTTCTAGGCGTTCCAGACACGAGATGATGTTAATATTAGCATTTAAATTGATTCCCAGCTACCGCATTTTCTGCATCTAGACACACTCCTTGTGAGACAGTCTTTCAATAAATCACCCAGAAAATCGCATAGTTTTTTCGCTTTCCTTGTTTTTCTGTACAGGGCTCGAACGTTTCGGATGAATAATGAATTTGAGTAGTGCTAGTCGTGGTGGACAGTGGCAGTCAAAAGGATTGAACAACATTCTGTTTTACAGGAAATAATTAATTAATTTATTTGTCAATTACACTATAGAAACAGCGAAGTTAACTTACGATTTGTTTTTAACATATAGAAAGGACAGCAGTTCCACAAGGACCACTTTAGTGTCCACTTACTGTTAATTATTTATTACAAACTGTCTCAGCATTTTATGTAATTTTTGATTTACACTTGGGGGTAAAATATTGAAGATGAAGAAGTTTTTGCTACGTCCGGATAATAAAATGACATATATCAACACTGTTGAGCTGTCAAACTATGCCAAACAAATCTGCATTATACTTTATTTTTATCGTTATTTTTTTTGATTTAAATTATTAAAATTAAATTATTAAAACTTCTCTAAACTATTTGTTTACTATTTTTAGTGTTTTACATATTTATTTTTGTTTTTATTTCCTCTGTCAATCAAGATCCGGCCTATAATGCAGTAATTATTAGTCATTTCTAAACACAGCAAATCTATAGATGTGTTACCTCCATTGCTGTATAGTTATACAATTCATATAATTAATCCACAGATTTGGATAGAGGAGATAGGAAAAGGCCATTTTCCCCGGTGTTTCAAAATAAGCCGACCATGTAGGCAGCCATATTTGCAATTTAAGCGTACCACGCACATGCGCAGTTGCTGTAGTGTTTAGAATTTTAGAAGTTTTTACTATAGACAATTAATAAAATGAAAAAAACGTGCTTTGTTTTTGGTTGTTTAAACAATGAGGATTCAGAAAACATTACATTTCACAAGTAAGACACTTAAAACTTTTGATTTTATTAGAATTTTTACATCATTGGTTACAAGATCATTTGTCTAGAGTTTGCCGCACTTATTGCTCCGCAATGGATATGTGAAGGAATATATATGAAAATAACTTTTTTAATTATAATTTTCTACTTCGTGTACTTGTTTTTGGATTTTCATAGCAATCTGTTTGATTGGAAATATTTTCTATCAAAGGAATCAGTTTCCCTAAGTTATAACTATTAATGAATGCAGTAATTACTTGATACAACGCATGGAGTTTAGCAGCATTAGATGATTATTTTTGTTAGAATAATTTACCGTATTACCCAATTTAACTCTATCAGCTCCTACGCCTATGCGACTCGAGAAATAATCGTGTCACTTAAACCGGGCAACGCAAGATTACATTTTGAACTAGCAATATTAAAATTTATTACCTATTTGTGTTATTTCTAGTTCTAGTTTGTTCATTGAATTCCAACAACCAACACCTACTTGAGTCCTGGTCTGGTCGCTTTGAGGCATATTTTAGCGGTTTTTTCTTTTTTTAATTTATGAGTAATATTTGTTATTTGGACATTCATGAAATTGATAGCTTGAACGAGATAAGCCAACAGCATCAATCATGTATGGGCGTATGGTAAGCAAATGTGACAAATCTTTAAATTTATAGATTTTGGAATGAAAAAATTTAATAATTAGACATGATATAACTTGAGCAAGAATGACAGTATATATTAGATGAAAGTAGAGAACAATTAGATTATTATCTATCTTCTTCTGCTTATACTGATAGATTTCCAGTTGGAATTATATTGTTTTTTTTTTTAATTGTATATTTAACACTGTCTATATATTTTTGGGTTTTTTGTAATCAAAATTAAACACAACAATGTCAGAAGCTAGTAACTGGGTATATTTTGGTTAAACCAGAGTTAACGAGGTTATGTAACTACTAACAAATATCGTGCGGTCCTGAATAAAACATATTCTAAGGGAAACAGGAGGGTATAATATCCGCTGTTGTCATATGTCTATTTCATTATTCTCGTTTTGTTTACAAAATTATTTACATATAATGAAAAGACTAAAATAATTCAACCTATTTTATTGCAACTGAACCCAAACATTTTTGAATCATTAGTCATATTAAATTTAACTAAATTAGATGTAATAATTTTCAATAAATTCCAAAACCTAGTTATGTTAGGTTGAAAGTGGCAACAGGGCTTACATCGGCATGGATATTTACGTTGTTTATTATAAGCACACAGCGTCTTACACATTTATTCATTGGTAAAAATAGGTTGTATCTGCGTAAAATTCTTCATTTTATCCCTTTTCTTACTTCTCTCCTTTCGTCTCCTCGCCACGTCTCTACAGATAGAGTGTATCGATTGTCGAATTAATCTTGACATCGTGAATATTATATTTTATCAATGAATGCTTATATCTCTGTTATCTCTGGTTAAACCATTTAGGGTTGGTCTTTTCACCTTCAGATAAAGTGCCAGGTAATTTTTATCTCCCAAGTAACTTAAAAAGTAATTTTTTCACTTCTGGATAAACCTAACTTCTGAATAATAACTTAACTTAGTTATTAAACTCCTGATAAAATACTTCACTGATGGATAAACAGGTAGCTACATAACCACATAAGATTAAAAACTACTGGATACTTACCATACATATTATTTATTTGAAAAAACAGAAAATTAATTATCTGACAGATAGTAACTCTCAGATAATATATCCGTCAGTTAGTTATCTGGAACTTTATCTGAAGGTGAAAAGACCGACCCTCAAATGCAGTTTAGCATAAAAACTTTCTTAACATTTTTGACGATTTTTGACTATTACAGAGTAGGCGTAGAAAAAATAGTATATGTTACTTCATTGAAGGCGAATTTTATTGTGCTCAGACGCTGGCCGAAATAGACGTACGAATAGGACCAACAATATTACATGTATTTGTCGTTATTATGTCTTTCAACAATTTTCATTCTAGTTTCTTGTTCCTCTGTCGATGTAGCTCCATATTTAAATAAATAATGAGTAGGTACTGTCATGTATAAATATACACAATTATTATACTAAAAGCTTGTTGTATCGGAGCAATAATAATTATAAAAAACAATTAGATAATGTTTTAATTTGAAAATGATTTATTTTGTTTAATAAATAAGAGAATCAAAACCGCAAAATGTTTACTCAATAATTAAAAAACCAGATTTCATACATATTTTTGCATTAAACACATATATTTGAATTAATAATACCTTCACATTGTAGATATATGGTTTGGCTAATTGAGGTATAAAAAATGAATATCAACAAGAATAAGAAAATGAACATCAAATAATTCGAACAGTTTAAATGAAGTAATTATAACACAAAATATTCTTAATTTGAAAAATGTTAAAAATTGTGTCGAATAAAAATTGAACTTTTTGAAATTATTTTTGGAAAATTCGTGTAAAGATGAAGTTACTAAATTGTGCTTATTAACTGTGTTATTAATTGTAGAATATTAGCTTATTAAAGCTCCTTTTAGTTTCTTTTATATTATATTAGCTTCTTTTAGCTTTTTTTAGCTTCTTTTAGCTTCTTTTAGCTTCTTTTAGCTTCTTTTAGCTTCTTTTAGCTTATTTTAGCTTCTTTTAGCTTCTTTTAGCGTCTTTTAGCTTCTTTTAGCTTCTTTTAGCTTCTTTTAGTTTCTTTTAGCTTCTTTTAGCTTCTTTTAGCTTCTTTTAGCTTCTTTTAGCTTCTTTTAGCTTCTTTTAGCTTCTTTTAGCTTCTTTTAGCTTCTTTTAGCTTCTTTTAGCTTCTTTTAGCTTCTTTTAGTTTCTTTTAGCTTCTTTTAGCTTCTTTTAGCTTCTTTTAGCTTCTTTTAGCTTCTTTTAGCTTCTTTTAGCTTCTTTTAGCTTCTTTTAGCTTCTTTTAGCTTCTTTTAGCTTCTTTTAGCTTCTTTTAGCTTCTTTTAGCTTCTTTTAGCTTCTTTTAGCTTCTTTTAGCTTCTTTTAGCTTCTTTTAGCTTCTTTTAGCTTCTTTTAGCTTCTTTTAGCTTCTTTTAGCTTCTTTTAGCTTCTTTTTTCTTCTTTTAGCTTCTTTTAGCTTCTTTTAGCTTCTTTTAGCTTCTTTTAGCTTCTTTTAGCTTCTTTTAGCTTCTTTTAGCTTCTTTTAGCTTCTTTTAGCTTCTTTTAGCTTCTTTTAGCTTCTTTTAGCTTCTTTTAGCTTCTTTTAGCTTCTTTTAGCTTCTTTTAGCTTCTTTTAGCTTCTTTTAGCTTCTTTTAGCTTCTTTTAGCTTCTTTTAGCTTCTTTTAGCTTCTTTTAGCTTCTTTTAAATTTTAAAAGGAAGCTGCCAGAAGCGACTTAAAAGTAAAAATTTTAAAGGAGAAACGTGATATTTATCATCACTGATTAGTTAAAAATGATTACGGGAAAATGAACATTTAAAATAGTTCTTGGGACCATTTTTATAAATAACTTTACTTTAAATATTTATAGTCGATAAAACTGTAGCTAAAAGT